CAACGTCAAAAAGTTAGTGAACGAATAATGTGAAAAGGAACACATTTCACGTGAAATGTTGATTGCCGATAGGGGTGAATATGTTAGAAAAATTACCGATATAAAAATGTGAATTTTCCATGCCTGATATTAACAAAAGATATAGAGTTAGTGAGATTTGGAGGGAGAGATACAGTAAATTCGAAAATAGACATGTAGAAGAGTTTATTAAAAAAGAGAGCAAAAATTGTACAAACAAAGAACGAATATCAAAGATGTGAAAAAACATACAAGTAAAGATAAAAAATAATTATTAATATTTTTAATACTTTTCTTAAACACTAATAATAATTTCTCTCTTCTCTTTATTCTAGACTGATTTATGCGGTATAAAATGGCGCAAATTTGTTAACAATGAGCGACCAAATGCATCCAGTGATCCACTGGATGATCCTATCTTACGCTCCTATTCAAGATGTATGCAAGCTGACATTCTATGTGTTTGGAGACGTGTTCAGTCTACCAGACAAGATAACTCGGATCCAAGTGCAATGTTTGATGTTAACACCTCAAAAGTGCATCCACCTCTATCACTAGCGGCCGCCAAAGAATTATGGATATTTTGGTATGGCGAGGAGCCAGATCTTACCGATCTGGTGGATGCGGAATTATTAAAAGTGGCTGGTAAGTGTAAATTTTCATAAATCTATTATTTGGTTTATTAAGTTGCCAGACGATGGTAGCGGCGAAAATTTCGCTTAATTTCAAGGCCATGAAGGAGGAGGAATTTAATACAACTTAATAATATAGGCGTGTGTATAGGTATACATATGTGTACACAACCCACCGGCTTTTGGTATTTTGAGTTTTTTTAATATTCAATGACGAAGAACGATGTTTTTGCCATTTCTGCCACCACCTCCAATCAAACAAACAGCACATTTCTTCTCGACAGAGTCATGCTACTTGCTTCATTCTCTTTGTTGTCATGTTTTCTTATAATTCTTTTTCATTTCTTTTAAATTAACTTTTCCTGTTATGCATTCACGTTGTTTGTCTTTTCTTTCTTCATTTGTTGTTGTCAAAGTTTAAGAAAAATATGTATTTTTTCTGCCAGTTTGTTTTGATTTCTCTATTGATTGAACATGACCGAAGAGCGAAACCATAAAGGAATTACCAAAGAAATTTGCTAAAATTTGAGAGAAAAATTTCAATTGAGTAAATTCATTTATCTCTATCAGTTTTTGTCTAGTAAATGGTTTTGCTGGTCTTAAGAATAATGTTTGTTGTTATTTATATGTTTGTTTTTATTTTGGTGTTTTTGGCAAAAGCAAACATCCAACAACACTTGTACAATGTACATATTTGTATGTATGCGGATGATGGGTTAATAATACATATTTTGATATAGTTTTTAAAGTAAATAACCCAGTTGTTAGTTCGATTTAACTTTATCTGTATTTTGTTAGATACATAAATACAAAATTTCTATTTTTATTATAATTACGGTTAAAAATATTTTATTGTAAAATTAATGAATGAAAGGGCAGATAGTAATAGGTATTAGGTGTAATTTTTTTTGCAATTCAGAATTATAGACTAGACTATAGACTAGACTATAGACTAGACTATAGACTAGACTATAGACTAGACTATAGACTAGACTAGACTATAGACTATATAGACTAGACTATAGACTAGACTATAGACTAGACTATAGACTAGACTATAGACTAGACTATAGACTAGACTATAGACTAGACTATAGACTAGACTATAGACTAGACTATAGACTAGACTATAGACTAGACTATAGACTAGACTATAGACTAGACTATAGACTAGACTATAGACTAGACTATAGACTAGACTATAGACTAGACTATAGACTAGACTATAGACTAGACTATAGACTAGACTATAGACTAGACTATAGACTAGACTAGACTAGACTATAGACTAGACTATAGACTAGACTATAGACTAGACTATAGACTAGACTATAGACTAGACTATAGACTAGACTATAGACTAGACTATAGACTAGACTATAGACTAGACTATAGACTAGACTATAGACTAGACTATAGACTAGACTATAGACTAGACTATAGACTAGACTATAGACTAGACTATAGACTAGACTATAGACTAGACTATAGACTAGACTATAGACTAGACTATAGACTAGACTATAGACTATAGACTAGACTATAGACTAGAGCATAGACTAGACTATAGACTAGACTATAGACTAGACTATAGACTAGACTATGACGAGACTATAGACTAGACTATAGACTAGACTATAGACTAGACTATAGACTACTATAGACTAACCTATAGACTAGACTATAGACTAGACTATAGACTAGACTACAGACTAGACTATAGCCTAGACTATAGACTAGGCTATAGACTAGACTATAGACTAGACTATAGACTAGACTATAGACTAGATAATAGACTAGACTATAGACTAGACGATAGACTAGACTATAGACTAGACTATAGACTAGACTATAGGACTGGACTATAGACTAGACTATAGACTAGACTATAGACTGGCATATAGACTAAAATGATCATAGTCTATAGTCTAGTCTATAGTTTAGACTATACAGTGGTGGCCATGAGGTTAGCACATTTGGTATCTGTTAAATATAAAATCAAAATATTTCCTATGTTCTTAACTTTTTTAACAATTCTTTTTATGGTAACACATGTCCTTCGAGGATCACGACACATTACATTTTGTTCCACTACTTTGTTGCAGATAGATTCTTTCTTTCCAAAGTACATCTACCCCAAAAAAAATCTGGACATAAGTTTAGCACAAAATAAAAAAATCATTAAAAAATTAAAAATAAAGCAAGAAACTGGATAATTTTATGTAATTTCACTTAAAATTTTATATTTTGTAGAATAGTTGCACATTTTGATAATATCATTTCTTCTCCTGGACATAATCTTCACCAGAACCCACTAGAAATTTCATGACATAAATTTTAACTTTCAGCCCATAAATAGGCAAAATTCTTAGGAATTTGTGTTTTATTTGTTGCACCATTTCGTTTAATATGTTCCCTATTGGATTGGGATCTAGAAATTATTCTGGGGGCTGCAAACATGTCAATCTCGCTCGCTTCCAAGAAGCTCCTCTCTGTACTTTAACATATTTTGGGTCATTGTCGACCAAAAAACGCCATTTAACTGAACTTTTGTCCACTCATTTTTTTACTAAAATATTTAAGAGTCTATTTTGATAGTCATACTGATCCATTTGTGCATCCACCTTGCGTATAGAACCTCCACTAGCCCGGAAAACGCCTCCGAATTCGTCATATTTCACCCATTGTGTTTTATGGTTTTAAATGTACACTTTGGTTGTTGCTTGCATGTTTGGAGTACAGCATAATTACATTTTTCCATCAAATTTGATCCTATTAATCTTCAACTAGTATCCTCCAATCATGCAGATAAAGCTAAAGTGTTCCAGAGAAATCATATATCACAATGGGGGGAAATTTCATGGTATTCATTGCATTTTCTTGGCATGCTGTTGGTCCTATATTGATGTTGGATGCAGAAGTGGATCCGTATGACTATCAAAATAGGATCTTAAATACTTATTAAAAAAATCGGAGGACAAAGATGGCGTTTTTTTGGTCGACATCGACCGTAAATATGCTAAAAGTGCTGAGATGAGCTGCTTGGAAGCGACCGGGATTGTCATGTTTGCAGTGCCCAGTATATTTTCTCGATTCCAATTCAATAGAGAACATATAACATAATATGGACCAACAAATAAAAGCAGAAATCACCAAGAATTTTGCCAATTTATGGGCTGAAATTTCTAGAGGGTTCTGGTGAAGATTATGTCCAGGAGGAGGAATGATATTATCAAAATCTGCAACTATTCCACAAAATATAAAATCTTAGTGCAATAAGATAAATATAACCGGTTGTTTTGTTTTATTTTTAATTTTTTAATGATTTTTTAATTTTGTGCTAAACTTATGTCCAGATTTTTTTGGGGGTAGATGTACTTTGGAAAGAAAAAAATCTACATGCAACAAAGTAGTGGAACAAAATGTAATGTGTCGTGATCCTCGAAGGACATGTGTTACGCATAAAAAAGAATTTGTTAAAAAAATTAAGAACTATAGGAAATATTTGATTTTATATTTAACAGATACCAAATGTGCTAACCTCATGGCCACCACTGTAGTTTAGACTATAGACTAGACTAGATTATAGACTACACTACAGACTGGTCTGTCGACTACTTATCAAAAGTTAGTAATTTAGAAAAAGGACGAAAATGTCCTCGGGGTACCGCGGTATTTTCCGACATAAAAAAAGAGAATTTTCCATGCCTGTAGGCGAGGCTATAGTCTGGTCTATAGGCTATAGTTGTTATGTTGACAAATTTTCGCCAAGTGTTAATAGGTACGTTACGGTGTGAAGTTGTCATTGTAATGTTTCCAATTCTTTACCGATTAGGTTATTTTTATTTTTGAATGTCAGATAACAAATACATATTTGTATACAATAGTGTATATAGTAATATTTTGGAAATAATTACTTTTGTATACATATTTGTACAACTTGTAATTACCTTGAAAATTATAAAATAATAATTAACTTTTCTTAGTGTATATTCAACAAAATACAACAGAAAGTTTGTTGTATATTTGTTCATTAAACATATGTGTGATGAATTGTATACGATGGCTAATAATATTTATTCGCATTATAGTATGAAGCTTTTTTATTTTGCCAATATGTATGCAAGTTCGGTCTCGTCCCGTTCCGTCTCTCTGTAGCGTATATACAATAATTTTTTTGAGGTTATTCAACCTGTTTTGCATTGTTTTTTTTTTTTTACCTGATGTTGTTGTAGATTGTATTAAACATTAAACTTAAAATGGCAGACATTCATAAGAAAAGTAAAAAAATAAAAATTAAAACACAATTACCAACTTTTTTCTTTAGATCAGTCAACTTTAATTTAAATTATAAAGTGAATTATAATAAAAACAATACAAGAAGCGAAGATTAAAGAATTGCATACAACTTTTGAGTAGAAGATCACTGATTAAAGATTTGAATAATTTTGCAGGTCCAAGCTCCTTGAAGAAGTAGATACAAATAATGAATAAAATAATTTTCACTGTATTAACAATATCTAGATCTCGATTTTTTTATTTCATTATTCTAAACATGATAGTATGTGTCTTGCATTAGAAATAAACAAAATATAATAATTAACCTGTTGTTTTGAACTCGTGTCTGAATTAATTTATTCATTCAATTAAGCTAAAATTTACAAAATATTATATTAAAACAATAATAATTGTATTATAAAAAATGCTGAAGAAAAGTGGCAACATGGCCATTAAGTTGCGTGTGCGTTTTAATCGCAATTGTTGTTTCAACATAATCATTATAATGATTGTTGTTGTTGTTTGAGATGTTACTTATAAAAAAACGAAGACCTCAGTCTGAGAGAAACACCTAACGTTAAGTGTGGTCAACTATTTGAATGTAAGAAATACGAAAACATATAGTTTCCAGTCTTAGATGATAAATCATCAGATCACGTAGAAAAGGGATGACGAGGACTAGTCTATAATCGAGATTATAGTCTGGTCTATAGTAGATAATATAGTCTATAGTCG